CGGCTTCCTTTGGAAGGTGGCTGGCTTCCGAAGCTCCTGGTCTCGAGGACTTTGTCGTGATGAAGAGTTCCCGGGGCCTTGTGCGGCGAGACCGGCGCGACTTCACCGACCTCGGAGAAGAGTATTCCCCGGGGATCTTCCACGTGGTGAACGAGCCCGAGCTTTACCTGCACGGCACGGTCGATGACGGCATGGAGGTTGACCTCAGCGGCTACCACCGGGACTTGTGCAACTGGGTGGCCGAGCTGGAAAAGGAACCGGGGGCGAGCAGGCCCGGCACATTGTCTCTTTGGGCCGTGGACAGCCCGAGAGCCAAGACTGGGACCAGTGGCGCCAAATGACCAACGAGGTGCTGCATCTTGAACTTCCTCTTCGTCCGGACCGGGTAGATCATGTTTGTCGACTGGCCCGAGCTCATTGGCGACGAGGTGGTGTCTTTGTGCTGGCCCGAGCAGCCAAAGAAGCCCGAGTCTTGGAAGCTCATGCGAGCACAGGTCTTGAGCAGTTCGGCTTCCCAACGCCTTTTTAGAAAGAGGCGCGTGGTGACCAATGCGGTCGACTCCGTGCGGTACCGAGCCGCGCACGCTAAGGACTTCGAGCTGTTCTACCAGGCGGCCTTCGAGGAGAACCAGGACGACTGCCCCGCGGCGGCACGACCGAGAACTATGCCATCGACCTGGACAACCTCGAGGAGATAGAGCGTGCCGAGGACGAGCCCGAACCAGGGGAAACTGTACAGCAAGTGGAGCCGCCGCCGATCAAGGAGCTTAGCAAGCAGGAAAAAGAAGCCGTCGAGAAGTTGCACCGTAACCTTGGACACCCGAGCAACGCTACGCTAGCTAGGACTTTGAGAGTCAGTGGCGCAGCCGAGCACATTTGGAAGTGGGCCAAAACAGACTTCAGGTGCCCAGCTTGCAGCTCAGGTGTTCTCCCGAAGCCGGCAAGACCGGCCACGATACCTCGATGTTACGCACCCAATGTTGTTGTAGCAGTGGATTTGTTTGAGCTACCGAACTGGAACAATGAGGGCTCCGAGCGCTACTTGAATGCCGTTTGCTTGGGCACGAACTTTCAGCTGGTGGAAAAGGTCCGAAGCAAACAGCCTGGAGCCGTCTGGGCGGCGCTAGAGTGCTTGGTTTCCCGCAGATCATCCTGTTGGATCAGGGCACGGAGTTCTTAGGTGAGTTCCGGCAGAATGCCCACGACCTCGGCATTCTGATCCATACCATCGGGGCAAGGGCGCCGTACCAAAATGGCAGAGCCGAGCGCCACGGAGCCTTGTTTAAGACCATGTTTCAAAAAGCCCTTTGGTCGTGCCCGCCTACCAGTTCGGAGGACTTCAAGCTGTGTTGCGGGAAGTAGAATCTGCGAAGAATCGCCTGTCAGACCGCTCAGGTTTTTCGCCTGCACAGAGAATGCTAGGCGAAACGCCCCGTACCACAGGAGAACTCCTCGCCGACGAGATGGTTGATGTGGTCCTCAAGGGCGTGACGGGCGAGATGGAGAAAAGGCTTCAAGCCCGGAGGGCAGCGCAGAAAGCCTTTGCCGAGGTGAACACTTCTCAAGCGGTGCGGAAGGCGATGCGAGCCAGAGCCAGGACCCAGAAGACGTTCAGGCCTGGGGACGTGGTCTTCGTTTGGAGGTCATGGAAAGCCCAGGGGATCAAGAAACAAGCCTGGGTGGGTCCTGGGGTCGTGGTTTTACCCGACGGCCCAAATGCCTATGTGAATGTGAAGGGCAGATTGTGGCGCGTGGCCAACGAGCACCTTCGTGAAGGCACTTCAGAGGAGATGCGCGGCATAGAGGCCGTGCACCAGGTTTTCGAGGACTTGCGCGAACGTTTCCGAAGGCCAGGCCGTGAACTTGGGGTAGTGGAAGACTTGACGCAGGAGCCCCGTCCTCCTCTTGGGCAGCAGGAGAACTATGAGGACCCGGTGCAGGCCGAAGGAGAAGCGCGAGGACTACCGAGAGCCCGAGTTGAAGACCTGGAGCCGCCGGTGCCTGTTCCTGAAGTACCGGTTCCCATGGAGGAGTTGGAGCAAGCACTACAAGAACCACCAGTTCCCGAACCTCCCGTTCCTGAAGTCCCTCTTCCGGCTCCCGCAGAAGAATTGCCAAGGCACTCTTCACAGGCCACAGCAGAAGAGCCAGAAGTGGAACAGGCGGCCAGTCAGGAGCCTGACCTGGAGTCCCGGGTGAACGCCGGCCAGGAGGCGATCCAAAGGAGTCGGCAGCTGGACGGGATTCCGTATGGAGCCGTTCGACCTTCAACCTCAGCGAGGACGGCACCTTCGGCACCTTACCTTGCGGAGCTCTCAGCGGACGACTGGTTCGAGGAGGAAAAGCTACAGCCAGAGACGAAGAACAAGAAGCCCGAGCCAGCACCTCACCGAGATCGCTGGCAGCTGCTTGTCGACCAGGGCGTGGTGAGGAGGCACCATGTCAAGTGGAGGTCGTGCCAGTTTTCTCCTTAAGAAGCACCTCGAGTTCCCGTACCTCTTGGGTTCCTTAGCTCCGAGAGGAAGACGGTGAGAGTGTTTAAGACGGGAGTCGCAGACAACAACAGCGACGACTGGAAGGAGCTCAAGCCGAGCAAAAGAAGCAGCGGCAAGTGGAAGGGCTACACCGACTTCTACTTGACCAAGTTCGCGTGCAAGGAGGTGCAGGACCACCCGCTGAAGTACGCACAGCCCGAAGACGTTCAGGAGTACGTGTTCCACACCGAGTCGGCCACCTTTGCGGTCAAGAAAAACACTGACGAGATCGCCGAGAAGGACATTCGACCTGAAGACTGGCCGGAGTGGCGAGTTGAAGACGCCAAGGAGTGGTCCAAGATCGAGGCTTCAGGTGCCGTTCGTGTGCTTTCAGTGGAAGAGAGCCGCAAAGTTGTGGAGTCCCTCACGTTAGAGGGGAAGCTGAACCGCATCATCGACAGTCGCTATGTTCGGCGACTCAAACCTGGAGAACAGGTGGGGGAAAAGCCCACCATGAAATCACGGTGGTGCGTCCGTGGAGACCAAGATCCGGATGCAGTGGAGCTCAACACCTACAGTCCGACGGTTACTACCCAAAACTTGCAAGTGGTGTTGCAGTGCGCAGCCTCCCGAAAGATGCCCGGCTCGTGTGGAGACCTGCAAGCAGCCTTCATGCAGTCCGCTCCTTTGTTTCGAGCGGGTGGCAAATTGTATGTCCGGCAGCCCAAGTCTGGATTGCCCGGGCTGCTTGCTGAGCAGCTGGTGGAGATAGTCTGCGGAGTCTATGGACTCGTGGACGGTCCTGTTCACTGGCGGCAGACCTTGAAGCAGCACATCATCGAGGAGCTGCATTACCGGCAGAGCAAGCTCGATCCGACGATCTTCTTGCTCAACCACAATGGCGAGCTGGAGGGGGTGATCGTCATAGAGATTGACGACGTCCTAGCCTTTGGCTACAGCATCCACGATGCCGCCCTCACCAGGTTGCGTCAGAAGTTCAAGTTTGGGAAATTTAAACGGTTGCAGGAACTCCCGGATGGAACGACCTTTAACGGGAGACGAATCCGACAAACCAAAGACTTCCAGGTGTTGGTCGATATGGAGAAATATGTCCAGGAGAGGCTGTTCCCGGTGAAGCTGGAAAAAGGTCGCAGAAGCAACCCGGACTCCGAAACTACTGCGGAAGAAAAGCAGAAGGCCCGCGCGGTCATAGGTGCTCTGGCCTGGGCTGCGAAGGAAGCGCGACCAGATGCAGCAGCAGCTGCGTCTATGATGGCGAGTCGATTGCCCTCAGCAAAAGTGCGTGACATTGTCGAGCTGAACAAGGCCGTGGAGTCCGTGAAGATGCACAGCAAGCTTGAGCTGAAGTACTTCCCAATAGCTCCTGAGAGCTTGGGATGGGGCACAATAACGGATGCCAGCTGGGCTAACCATTCCGATGGGAGCTCACAAGGGGCTGCTGCCGTGATAGCCTTTGACAAGAAGCTCTTGTCTGGTGAAAGAGCCTTGTGCAGCCTGATCTGGTGGAAGTCCGGAAAGCTTCGCCGTAAGGTAGGATCCACCTTGGCAGCCGAAGCTCAAGCTTTGAACAAGGGCCTTGGAGATCTTCTGTGGGCCAAGGCCATCTACGCGGAGCTGCTCGACCC